AGAGTCAGCATATCGCCCCCACAGTCTGGGTCCTCATTTCACCCACCTCGGAAGAATGGAAGGCTGAGTCAACCCAGAGCCGGTGAGATTTGAACAGCTGAACTGCAGGACTGCAGTCAGCTGAAGTAGCCTGCAGTGCTGCATTTAACCACTGCACCACCTTGGCTCTAGTCCTGCCTTCTAGTCCTGCCTTAGGTATATAAAGCCAGCTGGGTGACTTTGGACCAATCGCCAGGAGTCAATGAGTTATAGTCCCACCTTAGGCAACAAAGCCAGCCTGGTGACTTTGGACCAGTCAATCTCTCACAGCCCAACTCATGTCACAGAGCCCTGTGGGGGAGGGGGGTATTAACTAAGTTTATTAAATAATCTTGAGTTGTTTATCAAAATAATATAGATGGGAAATAAACAATAAAGGTGGGGAATAAATAAAATAACTTAAAATAAATCATTGAAGGAGTGCATTCAACATGATGCCTGCAGATGCCACCGAGATTGCTGAATTTGTTTCTGAAGAAGGAAACTTCACGATGATTCGGAATGTGAAGTTAAGTCTCCTGGTGGATGAGCATTACAACACCAATATCACTATGACAATTATCTGGATAATAACCAGAGGGAGAAGACAAAATTAACTGTAGTTGCTTTCAATGTAATTGTAGGAGCATTTGAATGCGATGTTTTGCATTGCTCCAGAGACTTTCCTGATGACTAGATGGATTATTTAAAGCTTTGCTGCCTCCTCAGGTTGCAAAGGAGATGACAAAAAGGCATTTGAACGAACGAATATTGGCCAGGTGGTGAATTGAAAATCGCTTATCAGAGATGCAGTTCAAAGGCGACTCCAAGGGAGGGCAGCAAAACATAAGAAGACAGAAGTGCCAGAGTAAGGAATCAACAAAGAGTGATGTGTCCTACCCAGAACTAATACAGAGCAGAAAAGAAAGAGACTATTTCATCCTTCAAGGACTATCACTGTGGTATTTTATATAATCCAAAATGTAACTATTGTCCAGGAGGAAGAAAGTCTGTAACGAAAGTGAGAAAGAGCCAGGTAAGACATACTGGAGAAGAAAATAGAGATGGCACAGGAAATGGAATGCAACAAAATAAAACTTCAAAGAAAAGAGGCAGAACAATGATTCGGGATTGGACAGCAGCATCCATGGGATAACAAACTTCAGGGATAAAGAATCATGTATGGATGGCAGATCCTTCTGTATGTAGCTCAGGGTGAACTGTCAAACTCTTGATGTTCTCGGAGCATGGTTGATATTTCTAGTAACAAAATGCCTGTAGGAAAATAACCAAGCTCAGAAAACCCCATAAATTCATCACAAGGAGACATCTTCATGGACCAATCTTTCAGGGTAAGTTTTTATTT